CGCTCTAGCGGCTTTTTCCGGATGTCGGCGACCATAGCCAGTACCTTCTCCCGGGCTGCATTGTCTCTGACACGGGCAACGCCGCGCGCGCGGGCGATCGTCCTCAAGGATTTGACGAGCTCCGCCCTGGCGGCCATGGCCACGCAGGGCGAAGTGCAACTTGAGCCAAATGGCGACGGGTTTTGGGATGCTGAATCGCCCATCGCGTCTACGAAAGTTTGCGCGAATTTGGCTCAGTCGCCATCGCGGCGGTGACGGTGGAGTTTCTCGGGGTCCCTGGTCCGGCACCCCGTCTGGACATCGGTTCCGTGTTTCGCAAGCCCCTTTTCTCCTTATCGCCCGCGTGAAATTGGTCTCGCGTCTCTCCAGCCTGCTATCTCGATGCCACCCGTGGGGGGGTCTTGGAGGAGAAGCGCGATGACGATGTTGTTGACGACGACGATGCTGATGACGAAGCGAATGGCGCTGGTTCCCCCGAGTCGCTCAAGGCCCCTATGGGGCCTTCAGCATCTCGGAAGAACCAGCGCCATTCGCTTGAAAAAAAGAACGCAACATTAAAACATCTCACATGTGCTTTGCCGCGCGGGCGCGCTGTCTCTGGGGAAGGCGCACCGCTGCCGAGAGACCATAGCAAACCTTCATTGAACAAAACAATGGGTGCTGCGTGATTTGCAGGTTCGACCTGACAACTTTCAGGTCGACCTGAAAACGCCCAGGTGCCCCGCGTGCATGAAATAGTACATTCTGGTGACGTTTTCCGGTTTCCACACCGCGAGGTACCATTGAGACCTGAAAATATTCAGGTCGACCTGAACGCACCATCCGTGTGAAAAAACAATGGATGAAGCGTCCCCGGAGGAAATTGTCAGGTCCAACCCGAAAATGTTCAGGTCGACCTGAAAATGCCGAGGTGTTCCAAATGTAAATAATACGCGCCCGTTGCATTTTCAGGTTCCTATACCGATTGGCGACTATAATAATATAAGGAACCCGAGGGAACCTGAAAATGTGCCCCCCCCGGTGGTTCCGCCGAACCCCCCTATGGTTCCGCCCAACTACACTACTGGCGTGTGCAATGACATTGTACGGTGCCCCGTGCGCCTAACGGGGATACGTCAATCTACCATGGCCCATTCACTCCCGACGCGAATGCTCATGCCTGCATTTTTCGCGACTCTTTTGTAAACGGTCAGTACCTCAAGCAAAACGCACCGAATTAATCGAAAGCGCAACCTTCCCCCGTCTGTAAGGGTTCCTTTGCAAGGACCCATCCGTCTTCATTCAGGAGCCCTTATTGAGGAGTCGTTATGTTTGGCTCCGTACTTAGGAATATGTATTCAAGTTTCCGTAGCTGTTCAGGAACCATGAGTGCGGAAGCACCCGAACGGCTCAAATCGTTTCGGTTCAAATCGCCGCGGGCCCCCAGTGCTCTTGTTCCCGTATTATTGTTGTTGTCGTTGCGGGACTGTTGTTCCCCACCCTCTTGCGTTGGGTTCTCGTTTTGAATAGAGCACTACGATCGCGCACATCCTTCCTCCCCCCGCCCCCCCCTTCTCTCCCGTCTCTCACCTCGCTCCTTCCTGCGCGCCAACATGCATCATATGCCCTGCGGGTTTGCGATCTGCGAAACCGTCTCCACTTTCGAGGGCTGTTGCGGGGCGCCCTACCAGAGTCAAATGGGACTTCGCCATCCCCGGGGGGCTGGGATCTGCGAAATTGTCGCCACTTCCGAGTTCCGAGGGCTGCTTGGGGAGGGGCAGCGGAGTGGCGAACCACCCAGATTCTGATTAGACTTCGCCTTTCATGGGGGGCTGCGATCTGCGAAATTGTCGCCAGTTCCGAGGGCTGCTTGGGGGGGTGGCGGAGTAGGGAACCACCCAGACTCAGATTTGACTTCGAACTGCTTGGGGGGGTTGCGATCTGCCACTTTCGAGGGCTGCTTGGAGGGGGCAGTGGAGTGGGGAACCGCCCAGACTCATATTAGACCTCGCCATCCCTAGGGGGCTGCGGCTTGTAAAATTGTCGCCGCTTTCGTAGGCTGCTGGGGGGTCCAGCGGGGTGACGTCCTACCCAGATTCAAATGGGGCCTCGCCATCCCTGGGGGGCTGCGATCTGCGAAACGAAACTGTCGCCACTGTCGAGGGCTGTCGGGGGGTCCAGCTGAGTGACGCCCCACGCAGATTCAAAGTCAACTTGGCCATCCATGGAGGGCTGCGGTCTGTTAGACTGTCGCCGCGTTCGAGGGCTGCTGGGGGGTCCAGCGGAGAGACGTCCACCACAGATTCAGATTCGACCTCGCCATCCCTGGGGGGCTGCGATCTGCGAGACGGTCGCCACTTTCGATGGTTGTTGGGGGGCCGAGCGGAGCGAGGCACCACCCATATTCAAACTAGACTTCGCCACCATTCGGGGGGTTGCTTGGGGGGGGGGCAGCGGATCGGGTACCCGCCGCAGACTCAGATCAGACTTCGCCTTCCCTGGGGGGCCGCGATTTGTGAAACCGTCGCCACTTTCGAGGGTTGCTGCGGGGGGTCAGCGGGGTGACGTCCTACCCTGATTGAAATGGGAGATCGCCATCCTTGGGGGGCTGCGATCTGCGAAACTGCCGACACTTTAGAGGGCTGCTGGGGGGACCAGCATAGTGGGTACCCGCCGCAGATTTGGACTAGACCTCGCCATCATCTGGGGGTCTGCAATCGGAATGTGTCGCCACTTCCGAGGGCTGCTGTGGGGGGGTCGAGCGGAGCGACGCCTTACCCAGATTCAAACTAGACCTCGCCATCCTTCGGGGGGCTGCGATTTGTGAAACGGCCGCCAGTTTCGAGGGCTGTTTGGGGGGTCCATCGGAGCGACGTTTTACGCGGACCGCCAGGAGACCTCGCCATCCCTGGGGGGCTGCGAAGTTGGCGAGCGAGTTCGGCCCCGTTCGCTTCTTGCACTACCTTGAGCAGGTTTAATCTTGTTTCGGGCACCGCGGCGACATGGCGCAGACAGCGTTGCATCTTGAGCGTACTACTGACAAGCGCAACACTCGTCGGTCTGCTCCCGTCACTTTCGTCGTCGTCCTCTGCCACCTGCCACCTGCATTCTGTTGTTGCCGCGCTGACGATTCGGCCCCACCCACCCACCCACAATGCGGCATGATCCTGCCCTTCGTTCCCGCCCCCATGTCGTCCGAACGCCTGGGCCTTCACTCCTCGTCCTTTTGTGATTGTCCTGTGGGGCGTGCCACGCGAGCGCATCCCATACCGCTTGCACAACATATAGCGGCGCTTGCACTGTCATTGCCTTGGCAAGGTTGGGACAAACTCCTCTTGTCACTTTAAGCAAATGGGTTGGGTGCGTCGCAGGTTGTTGGTTTGCTGATGTTGTTGTTCATGTTGGTGTTGTTGCTGATGGTGTTGTTTATATTGTCTCTGTTTCTCTTGTTGTTTTGTTTCTCTCTCTATATCCTTCTCTCTCCCTCTCTCTCTCTTTCTCTCTCTCTCTCTTTCTCTCTTTCTCTCTCTCTCTCTCTCTCTCTCTTTCTCCCTTTTCACTCAACGTCTACTCGCCTAGTCTCTTTCTCTCTCTCTCTCTCTCTTTTCTCTCTTTCTCTCACTCTATCTCTCTTTCTGTCGCTCTCTCTCTCTCTCTCTTTGTTCTTCTCTCTCTCTCTCTCTTTCTCGCCTCTTCCTCGCTCACCATAATTCCATACTCCCTCCTTGTTCTTGCTTTCTCGAGATCTCTCCGTTTCTCTCGCTCTCTCTCTCTCTCTCTTTCTCTCTCGCTCTCTCTCGCTCTCTCTCTCTCTCTCTCTCTCTGTCAGTCCGACAATCAGTCAGTCAGTCTCGCTCTTTCTCAGTCTCTCTCTCTCTCTCTTCCTCCCTCCCTCCCTCCGTCTCTTTCTCTGTCTCTTTCTCTTTCCTTTTCTCGTTTTCTTCCCGTCCCCGCTTCCGTTCATCCCTCGCGAGTGCTCCGCCTCGAGTGTTGACCCTGCATGGACGAAGCTCGCAGAACGCATGGGGGGCAGTGGGCAGAGACATGCCTGGCGGGCCGTTTCGGTTCCGAGGGGATAGCGAACTCGGGTGTTCCTGTAGCCTCGGGGGCACCTGTAGCTTTGGGAGGAGTACCTGTAGTCCGGGGGTGGGGTACCTGCAGTCCGGGGCGGGTACTTGTAGCACGGGGGAAGGGTACCTGCAGTCTGGGGAGAGGGTACCTGTAGTCCAGGGGGTACATGTAGTCCAGGGGCCCAGAATTATTATGTGACACAGAGTGCCCCCCCCACCCCCTGCGAGTCGGCACTGACGTCTGCGGGCTGGGTTCCGCCTCATCATCACAGTCCGCATCAGCATGCTCGGCCTCCTCGGGTCATCATCGCCCCCCGCCCTCCTCCTCGGCTCATCTGTCATCCCTCGTCCTCGTCCTTCCCATATGTTCCTCCCTCTTATCCTATCCCCCTCCTCTTCAACACCATCGCCATCATCATCGTTTAGAACGGTTGCACTTCCATCCATTGTTGTCGCCCTCGTTTGCTTTATAGCAGCCAGGAGGAGCTAAGCGTCGAGCTCAAACACACCCTCGGCTTCATCATCACCACCACCTTTTTGGTCGTCATCGGTCGGTATCATCGTCATCATCAGCAGCATCATCATCACCATCAGCATCATGATCATCACTATCATCATCATCCTCAACACCATCGTCATCACCATCGTCATCATCACAATCACCATGAGCAGTATCACCATCATCATCACCATCAGCAGCAGCAGCCATCACCCCCCACCACCCCATCTCCACCCCCACACCAAACACACACACACATACACACACACACACACGCACACACACACAGCTTCGCGTCATCATTATTATCCTGCCTTTCCCAGTCAATTCCTCTTCATCCTTCTCCTCCTGTCCCTCGTCGCTCGTCCTCTTCACCCTCTTTGGTATCGGCTCTACTTGCCTTCGTCTTCCTCGTACTCCTTTCTTCTCCTCATCCTTGGCTCAGCTCAGAGGTTCTACCCTTACATCATGTTCTGTTTCATGGCGCTTTGGTTGGTATGCATGTGGGCCGATCTCGTCGACTTCGACACTGGGTTGGTCCAGGCGATGGCGGTGAATTACTTGTGCTCGCTGGTGGTCAGCAGCCTGCCAATCACAACGATTTGTCCAGATTTTTTGTGCATTTGCTTGCAGCAAGTTCCGCCACCGTGCCAGCGCAGTACTCTGTGTAGCAACGCACAGGAGACTGTCACATGTGACACCTCTCATATTTCTTCGTTGAGGGGCTCTCATGAGGCCCTACCTGATTTGGGGCCCCTCTCAGCCATCCTGGGGATATCGTGGGGCTGCCTTGGAGGGCTCTTGGGCCATTTTGGGGCTGGCAATCTAGGGACCACCCTGGGCCGTCTGGAGCTCTTCTCGGCCGTCTCTTGGGGCTGCCTTGGAGTCCCGCTGGGGCCATTCGGGGGCTCTTGCAGGCGATCTTGGGCTTCCTTGGGGCGTTTGGGGGGCCCTTTGGCGGCTGTCCTAGGCCGTCGGTTTGTGTTTTAGGGGAGGGCCCGCGTTGCGCTCTGTTGGCATCACCTTGTCTCCTCGAGTGCTGTGTTGGAGCCATCTTGAGACGAGAGGGCCAGGAAACGCAAAGTATTCAAACCTGAGTGACGCCTTGGATGATTGACAGATGTTGGCTTTCTTGGAAGGCCTCTTGGACTTCTTCTTCGATGTCTTGGAACCGTCTCGGCGTCTCTTTGGCGCCTCTTGGGGCCTTCTCGAAGGCTGTTGGGACACTCTTGAGACAACGCTGAGCCATAATTGGAGGCCTTGATGGCCTTCCTGGGCCGTCTTGGAAGCCTTAGGAAGCGCTGGCGAGCCCAAGGGAGGTGCTGGGCAGCCCACGGAGCTTCTGGAGAAGGGGCGATGCATGCAGCTGAGCTTGTATAGAGGGGGGCTGCGCGCTTGCCTGCTGCTGCCTTTGCCGCCCCCTTTCCTCCTGCATGTTTGAGTCTGCTCACCGTGCTTCTCCTCCTCCCCCTCGTCGTTCTTACCTCCTCCTCCTCCTCCTCCTCCTGCTCCTGCTCCTCCGCCTCCTCCTCCTGTTCCTTCTCCTCGTCTCACGGGCCATCCGGTTGTTGCCACCTTGCTCGGCGAAATGAGTCGATGCCGCCAGGCACAGAGAGCAGGGGCCCTGCGTTTCTTTCTTCTTCCCTGTCGCCTCGTCGCTCGTTCCCCCGTCTGTGCTCATATACTTGTCGTCGTGGTCCTCCGCGGTGGCCGGACGTCTTCTCTCTGTATTGCGCCGTGGCCTGGCAGCGAGATGGCGGCTGGGTGCGGCCAGCAGGGGTTTGTTTCGACCCCCGATCTGGGTCAGGGGCTTCGGCCCGCGTGCTGGAGGGAGTTTTGAGGATGAGACAGAACCCTACTGGACATATCTTTGCATTATACCACACCTTAGCGTGCCAGTGGGCACGGTGGCGGATTCAGCACCGCATGGAGCATAAATCTCTGGGTATTTTCCAACCACGAGCAGGCACGTTCCGCAGCGGGCTGGCACCAATTGCCTTTTTTCCTCTTCTATGCTTGGGCGGCTGGGTTGCACAGCTGCTTTGTTGCGCAATTCTGCTTCATTGGGTGTTTGGCCATTTTTGCAGACCCGAGGTTCGATATCAACTCGCAATGCACATTGATGTTGTTAGGAGTTAGTGTTGTGGCCACCGCTGTCGTCCTCGAGTGGCAGTCTGTGTCCCACTTCCAGAAATTACAAGCACTCTTGAACGTGTCTACAGATGGGCGGATTGTCGTAAACAGATTCACGGGTACAATTGTCAGCATGAGCCAGGAGGCGTCGGAAGTGTTGGGCGGCAGATTGATTGGGAAGCCCTTCGGCTGCCTTGCTCACGACACCGATCGCCCCAGAGTAGAGGACTGGTTCAGCCGAAGCCACGGGGAGCCTTCCGAGGCGTTCATGGCCACGCTCAGGTGCGGGCAGCTCCCAGAGGCCAAGCCTATGCAGGAGTTCGAGGCCCGCATCATACCTTTCGAGATCGCCGGGCCTCACCTGCACTTCTGCCTACAGGTGGTGGGCGAGGTGAGAGCGTACGACGTCGGCGCCAGCAGCGCCAAGGAATCACGAGAGAGCGCCGGCGCGCTCACAAGCACGTACGCGTTGGTCACGGGCACACCGCACTTCGCGTGGACGCGGACCACCTCGCGTAGCACTCCCAATTACAGCATGAGCTCTGCGGCCTCCAGGCGGGACGACGACGAGTGCAGCTTCGCCATCTCGAGCAGCATAGGGCAGGTCCGCCCCCGCTCGCTGGAATGCTTCGGCCTGCTCTCCGAGCAGGACTCTGCAGGAAGAGGGGGAGGAGGAGGAGCAGGATGAGGAATAGGGAGAGCACCAGCAAGCTGGAGGCACGGGACGTGGCTGGCCTGGGCCAGAGCCAGATACACGCGTGGCCGCGTGTCTTTCCAGCACGTCGACCATCGAGTGGCCAGGCACGTCGGCCCTCCGCACATGCATCATGCATCTATTGAGCTATTGAGTTCTTTCCTCATGATCCGCATGTGGAGCCAGTCGCATGTGCTTCCGCTTTCTGTCAGAAAACTGCGTTCCTAGCCTACGCGACGGATCGGCTTGGGCCGCACACTTGCAAATCACCGCGCTCGGCGCGCAACGCGGACTCGAGGAATCAGTTCTTTGAATTGGTCTTTTGACCCCCGCACACACACATTTGAACACACACACACACACACACACACGGGCACGCCCTCTGTAGCAGATGCAGAAGACAGACACCCGCTGGCTGCACTGTGCGGCGTGCCGCGGCCCGGCCGACATTATCGCCCACGTCCGCTTTATTGGTGCAGATCGTGCACCGGCGGGCCCGGCGCCTGCGGCACCGGCCCGCGCGGCAGCAGACAGGGACGTGCTGGAAGAGACCACGCCGCAACAGGGCCTCGCATAGTCTCCTCGACCGTTCCCTGCCCCCGGGTCGCTTTGGCAAGACCTCATGCAGTCATCGGGCAGTGCGTCCAGCGTCATGTCCGCCGTGGACCTGCACAGGCCACCACGCAGGCCGACATTCCCGCGGGGGCCGACCTCTTCGGGCGCATGCTCTAGTTCATCGAACGAGTCGCCGCACCACCTGGCGAGCACCGATCTACCAGGTGGCCGGCGAGGCGTCATATAGTCGACACCAGCGCCTGGACGAACCTCCGGGGACTGCGCTTCGCCATGAATCTCGCCCACAAGGCCCATCAGGCGAGGCTGCATTCCTCCGAGGAAAAGTTGTCGAGCCCACTGTGCGCAGCAGGGGTTGGCAACCAATCACAAGCACCGAACTACGAGGTTCATTGCCCTATCGCGACGACTTCCCGCGACGGTGTGACCACTCAGCCCCGCATGCGCGCTTCGGCCGTGGAGGGCGCAGGCGCTAACCTCCTTGCCATATTAGGACTGCAGCCCATGCAGTCCAACAGCGGGGTTGTGGAGACGGGCATTGGCCACAAACGCTTCGCCTTTCCTGGATTAGGAGGCTACGAGATCACATGGAGCCCGTGCACCATCTACTTCGATTTGGAGTCTGCGCCGAGCGGCCACGTGCGCATCCCTGCCGACGGCTTTGGCAAGCTCCAGCCGCATTCCGGGGGCCTGCCGCTTAATTAAGCAGCTCACGCTCTTGGCGGTGGGCAACGACGGACAGATAACGACGCCACCGACGACCGCGACTCCAAGACTCTGAAGATCCAATTCATCAGCCCCGACTCACGGGCACCCTCACACAGCGCGCCCGGGGCCGCAGGCTGCGATCTTTACGCCGGCGCGGACGTCAGCATTGCGACCTGTGGTTGCGGATTGGCGTCGGCGGGTGTGGTAGCCTTAGCACCGCCAGGCACTTACCGTCGCATTGCCCCTCGCTCCGGACTCGCCCTCGAGGGGGTCGATGTCGCGGGCTGCGCGGTGGACCCCAATTTTCGCGGCGAGATCAAAGTGATCACATCGAATACCGGCCCACGGACGTACGCGGTCGAGCAGGGCCACCGAATCGCCTGGCGCATCCTGGAGCGCATCGTCAACGATGCCGAGAGGGTGGTCACTCCCCACCCTCTTCCGTCGTCTCGTAGACCTGGAGGCTTTCGACGCGGTAGCATGGCGTTCCTTAGTCAAGACTCCATTGCGAGAGAGGGAGGTATCGCGACTTCCGATGGGCCCCATCGGTGCCCGCGGCTCCGAAACCTCCAAGGAGCTGCCGCATTAGGGAGCTGCCAAGCCGACCAGCCACACTGGCCCCGCCGACCTGCCCCGGCAGAAGTGGGCAGCAGGACCAGGGCGCCCCGCCTGGGTCTTAGCACAAGGACGGGACACGTCACTAGGCAAGATCACGCCTTCGACGGCATCCGCCCCTCCAGCTTCGAGGGTGCCAGCAAGTTGTTGTCCGACAGCGCGTTCCCCAGCGCCGGCTATAGCAGGTTGTGGATTACGCGCGACACGAGTAGGGACGAGGTCCGCCTCATCCTCGACCCCCTTTTTAACTGGTGCGCCAGGGTCAGGGGCGACGGCGCCAGGATCGCGGTATTTTGCGAGCATGGTCGACAGTGGAAACGACCAGCAGCGCGGTAGATGATTGACACGCACGTGTTCCGCTCGAGTTCGTATCCGGCGTGCCGCGAGCCTTTGGTCCCAGAGGCCAAACACAGTGGCGTTGTCTTTATGGCGCTCACCGGGGCGCCCATCTACAACCAGTGGTGCGGGTGCAAACTCAAGCTCGAGGAGCACGTCGACGATTGGACGATCATCAACCGACAGGCGCGTTTGACCCTGATGTGCCCGGAAGTGTTGCGACTTGCGCCTTGCTGCAGTCGCGCTCCAGCCAGTAGAGACGCATCGAGGAAAGCACACCTTCAACGAGGCACGACATCAGTTTTTCTCACCCGTCTTCGAACACCTCTTCCAGCCCCATGGCCCCACGCAAGCGCGACGCCCAGCAGCGCTCCCAGGACCGCGCGCGCTCCATCACTTCAAGTGTCCAAAACCGCTCCTCCGGACCATGTGCAGGACTGCGCGAACAACCGCAGGAGGCGTCTGGCGACTGCGTCACCAGCGCCCACCACATTGCAGAGCGCATGCGCCAGGAGACAAAGATAAAGGGGGGCCAGGTGCCAAAGACACGCAAGCAGGTCGTCGAGGATCACTGCGACGGCTGAGGCTCTGACCTCACCGGCCTGGCCACTGAGCTAGTCGGCCTTGCAGCCGTTGGCGACTTTGGTTGCGACGACGAGCGCGACGAGGACGATCCCCCATGGCAAACTTGCCGCAGGTTTGCCCGCGCGGCGGTTCCAAGGCTCGTCGGCCCCGGGGCCAGACATGGATCGCCAAACGGCTAGTGCTCAAACGCCACAGGCTACCGAGTTCGACGCCACCCACCCGCCCCTCACCCACATCACTTCACTCGAGTGCGGCGTCGACATGTTGGAGGTGCGCAGTGGAAAAGCGCGGACTAGCAGACTGGCCATCCGTTGCCACCATAGATCTGGCGAGCATTTCGACTTGGCCACCAGCTGAGACCTCGACGACGAGAGCCAGCGGCGGGCCGTGGAACGACATCTTCGACAACATCGGCCACTGGTTATCATATTGCTCCGACCTGCCGGCCCGTCGGTCGCTGGGCAACCTCCAACTGCGCGCAGAATCACCACGCCTGGCTGCGCTTCTACAAGGACGCGGCCCCCCATGGCCGATTCTGCGCCCACCTTTCACAGCTGCAGTTCGAGCTGGGCGGCCACTTCGTCAACGAGCAGCCCGAGACACCACGGCCGCCCGACGAGTCGCCGTGGCCAGGGGCGCCGGCAGGGCCGGGCGCGGACCGGGCCATCTTTTACCGAACCCGAACGCCGCAACTGAGTGACGATATGTTTCTTGGCTTTCCTCTGCCACAGAAGGGCATTAATTTGGGCACCAGTTGTCGCAGAAGGGCTGTCCGCGCGAGTTCTCCTGCCACGGGGGGGGCCCGCCGCGATTGGAGACGATGGAAGGGGGAAAACGCGACGACGGGGGGGGATCGGGGAGGGGCGGGGGGCGGGGGGGGAACGAAGCGAGAGGGAGGTGGCGACAGCGCCGACGACAGCACTGTTCCTTTTTCCTGCCCCGCTCGGGCAGCGATCGCCGAGCGCGGAGGCGCGCGCGAGCCGCCGCCGCTCGCGATGCGCCGCTATGGCCCCCGCTGCTGCGGAAGGGCGACGTTCGGCCGGCGAGGCCCCCCTCCGCTGCGGCGGATGGGGCGGCCCTTGCGCTGCGATTCGTTGAAGCTCATCCCACGAACAGTTGTCGACGGGGTCCTCGGCCCACGCCCTCGCGGCCCTAGGCCCCCAGTGCCCCCGAGTGCTCGTCCACTCACCTTGGCGCGGGCCGTGAATGAGGAACGCCGTTGCGAAGTCCTGCCAGGCGGATTCGACCCTGCGGTCTGGCCTCGAGGAAGCGGCACCTCGCGGTTGCGGCCCTTCGTTCTCCTCGCCCCATCTGCGGCCCAACCATTCCCGCGATTGGCCGCGCCATTTATCCCAGCGCCGCAGCGGCCGCGCCTGCGCCTGGCCCAGCGGCGCAGGCCCTGGGGCTGGCCACTGCGCCGCCTGCCGCCGCCTTGGGGGCGATAATTATTTCCATATGTATGCGTTTCTCACCCCACTCCTTGTCATCATCCTCTCACAGTTTAACTCCCGCTTCCTCCCCGACGTCCGTTTCCTGATGTCACCCCTCGTCCTGCTCGTCCTGTTCGTCATCCTCACTCCTCCCTCCCCCCCCCCTTTCACCCCCTTGCCGCGACCTTCCATCGCCCGCCGCGGGCCAGTCGCGCTCGCCTTCCTCGGCTGCGTCTGCCCAGCTCCCTGGCCGCAACGCCTGCCGGGCGCGGGCGCCTTGTTCGCCCCCTTCGCGGCGCCGTTCTGGCGCCCGGTGTTCGGGCCCGCCCGTGCTGCGAGGGCGCCGCGGCGCAGCTGCTTGCTCTCCCTGGCTGACTCGCGCGCCTCGCGTCGGCCGGACGCCTGCCGGCCACGCGCAGTTGGGACATCAGAGGGTAGTGGGCGCCGCCGCGCCAGCGCCCACTCACTTCAGGCGGCTCCTGCGCCGCGCGGAAGAGGAGCACCTCGCGGACGCTACAGAAGCGGCGGCCCCCTCTAGCCGCAGCTTCGGTGCGCCTTTCTTTCTCGCGCTGTTTCGCCAGGATTTGGTTGTTTCTGAACTCATCTGACTGCGCCAGCAAATCTTGGAGGTGCTCGTGGGCGTTTTTGGGGGGTAGTAGCGATCGCACGGCGTCCCAGGGCCTCCTCCCCGCTTGTGGCGCGGGTGCGTCGGCG